TGCTTTATGGAAGTGAGTTGTGGGCAACTTACACCCACCAGGAGCAACACCTCAATGCCTTTCTTATGCATTGCCTCAGGAAGATTTTGGGCATCACCTGGCAAGGCAGCAAACAAAGATGTGCTTTTCTGAGCCACATTCCCAGCATGTTTGCACTTTTGTCTTAGCAATGTCTACACTGGCTTGGTCATGTACACAGAATGGATGATGGCAAACTTCCCAATAAAGCTCAATGGGGAGCTGGTTTCAGGCACTAGGCCCATTGGCAGACCAAATCTACCTTACAAAGATGTCTGCAAACGTGACCTGAAGGCTGGCAACATTAACCCCACTATGTGGGAATCCCTTGCAGGCAAATACAGTGCCTGGAGACAGTCAGATTGTGTATCTACAGCAGTTACCAGAGAAGGAATGACTGCTGGGAGGAGTGCAGAGAGAAGAAATGCCATGGTGCACCTGTAGCAGCAACCAGATACCTTCATCTGCCCCAGCCGCAGGCACCGTAACTCTCCAACAGTTTGAGTTTACCTCTGAAGGCACACTTTTCAATTGTCTCCTGAGACAGACGCCAACCGCAATCACCACAACTACTATTAATGTCTTAAGGCCCAGTGCACAGGGGAGCATTCCCATTCCTGCCCACTGAAAAATACACTGAGTTTTGGCGATAACAAGGCTTACTAGGATGTTTCCTTACTCATCATTGGTTGTTACCATTGTTAGGAGAAAAAGTAGAATATTGCTGGAAGTTTGGCAGAGCACTAAAAAGGCACTTTGGTTCCATATTACAATTCACCTTCCAAGGCAGCTTCTGGCAAACTGACTGACTTTATTGACTCACTTAATTTTATTGTAGAAAGGCACTTTAGGTTTTGCTGGGCGGATCTGTGATGAAGTCATGCTGTCAATATTCTGTGGTGATAAGTCAAGCACAGATTGTCCTCAGGGTTTCTGAAGGCAAATCAAAATGAAACTTGCCAGTAGGGGAGAGCAAAGATACTTCACACCCACAGAGACGACATGCACTCATTTTTGTAAAGGGAGGTTAGAACACGAGCCTCTCACTCCAGCTCAAAGGTCCTGCAAAAGCAATTCTCCATATGACTCGACTCAAAGAGTGTTTTAAAACCTCATGACCACACAGCATTTTAACTGCTTGTTCATAAGCCCAGTTTTCACTTTTTTAAAATAATAAAAAATGTACCCTTCCACCTTTCAAATTTGCTGACAGTTTGAGAAAACAAATTTCTTCTAACTGGGCCAAATAAGACTGCTCAGATGGGCCTTGAATAATTGTGTGTGTGTGTTTTACTGGTGGTGATGGGGAAGCTAATTAAAAATGAGGCAAATTCTGTCAGTTATTTATATCTAGAGGAGCACCGAGGCTTCATGTGGCTGCCTGGCTTCATTTTGCATTGACCATTTGATAGGCAAGAGTACACAAAGAGGATAAACAATAAGCAAACTCTCAATGAATCAACTGTGGTACTCTTTACCTCAGTAGAAAAGAGAGTTCTCATTTCAGTTTTCTCAGGAGCTACACTGAAAGATACTCTATAACTGCCTTCCTGAACCTGGTGCTCTCTAAATGTTTTGGCCATGCTCGTTGGAGCTGATGTAGTCCAAAAAATCTAGAAGCTGCCCTTTAAGAAACCCGAGGGTGGCTAATATGGATGACTCCTCCTGCTACAAATTTGCTGCTGGTCTGGTAGCCTTGTTGGTTTTCTCCAGTTAAGTTTTACCAGTTAAAGAGACCCATTGAAATTAATGGTTCTTAAGTTAGTCATGTTCATTCATTTCCATGGCTCTGCTAAGTACAGCCACCATTGGATACAACCCTGTGTTTCCAACCTGCCCTCAAATGCCTATTGTGCATGTCTTTTTCACACAAAACTACTACTATCCCACTCATGTATGAAACTCCTTTAGTAGGGGCTGGCATGGCGGTCCTCTTTGTTCTAGCAATATTGTGGGTTCCTTTTCCTCCCTAGGCAGGAATCTGTAGCTTATTTCCAGCAAAAGGGGGCTTGAGGACACCATGTATGCTCAACAGCCTTCCATCTTACAGTACCCAGATGTTCGGTATATAAACTTCTTTCCAAAAAAGAATAACTGGCAAAGCACAAGTGAGCATTTATAAAAACAGTAAGCATCTTTATTACAGCACTGTGATAAAGAATATTCCACAAGAGTTGTAGAAACCTACAGCAGTGTTAAGAGGCAATTGATAATGCCAGGGCTTAATTTTATCAGCAGTGTTTATTACTTATACTGGGTGTTTCCTTCCAAGTCCAATCAGTCTATTAATTGCTTTCTTTTAATCTTAGGAAGGGCAGTGGATTTTGTTCTCAGAGGGAACTGGCTTCAGTTTTGACAGAACAGCAAAAGCAGCAGCTGTTGGCCCATTGCAGTCTGATGAGATTGCTGGCTCTAATACACTTTGCCTTTTGACTGTAATGTGTTTTATGAAACATCTTCTAAAGCTTACAAGTGACCCCAGGACATAACTCTCCAGCACTAATGTCTCTCTTTGCCAAGTAATGAAGTATGATTTATGGTGGTAATGGTTAATCTCAGGTGTGTGTGTGTATGTGTACCTGTGTGTGTTGTTTTTTTATATTAAAAAACCTGTAGAATATAGGAGTATAACATGCACCATTTGGCACATTTATGACAAAGGTGTTCTGGTTTTCTTAACTCCACAGTTTTGTGTTGGCAGTTTTTCAAATTCCTTAGACAGATGTTTAAATGAATTTAAGAGGACAGAGGAATACTTTTAAAACATCATACGGAGTTGAGTGTCTCAATATGAAAAGGAACATTATTCCTCTACCAGTTTAGGTAGGAAAGGATGCCACATGGCCTATCCTGTTTTAGATCTGCTGTTAGCTGATAGAAATAGCAAATGTGGAATTAGCTTTGTGGGAAAAGTCCCGTTTATTATGCAGTTGAGACTGGTGCAGAGGGAAGGAAGTAAGAACACTTCGTGACTCTCTGAGACTTAGCTTGTATTCACATCTAATTTCTTAAAAATGTATCAGGACTTGTCTGGCATGCAGAATATGGGACTATTGCTGTCCAGGTAGAAACCAAACTGCAATACAGAGAGACACAGAGGCTTTATGTATCTAATGTAACAACTTCCAAATGTTCCCCTCTCAAAGGAAAATATACAATTTTGGAGAAGCTTGGCATGCTGAAAGCCCATTGGAGTCTATAGTACTTAAGCACAATGCATAACCAAGAGCAAAGTTATCAGAAGACCGGTTTGTCAACATGCAAAATGCTTTAGAAAAGCAAGGCCCATAAAGGGTGGGAGTGGGTGGCAGGGAACCCAAATACAGCCTAACAAGAGCAGAGCATGTTCAATGGCCACACACACACACACACACACACACACACACACACACAATCCCCAAGTGTCTTTCGTGTGGCAGGGGAGAATGGAAAAGCAGTGAGAGGACATGGAATTGTCTATCCTCACAAAGGAAATAGCTTGCTGGCTGAAAGTCTGAGTGGAAGCGCATTCCACACTGCAAGGTTTTGTTGCGGCTCTCCCTTGTATATACTAATAGCAAACTCAAGTGCTATTTTTGATGGCAATGAAGCCAAAATATGGCTACTGGGGGAGGAGAAGGTGGCATCAGTATGCACAGGGGAACCCCAAGGTTCGCAGAAACTGAAAAACGAAAACACCATTTAGGTTAAAAACCTAAAGAGGCAACTTTATGCCCCAAAACAGCCCGATGAGGACTGACCATGCTCAAGCAGTCAGACTGAGTGCCTGTTTTGGGGCAGAGGGGTGGAAGCCTCAAGGTGGGAGGAATGGAATGGAGTGTCCTGGCAAAGGGCCCTGCTATGTGCCCTCCTTTGTGTGTGATTGAAATGTGTCTTTGAACAGCCCCCTCCTCCAATCTGGGGAATTGTGGTTGTCCTATCAGCCAGCCCTCAGGTCTGCGGCTGCTGTTGCTGAATGCCAGGTTGGCTTGGAGTAACACCTCCATGATCTGATTATGGATGAGGCGGTCGATCTGGCCTGTACCACCGAGACCTGGGTGAGTGAGCAGGGTGGAATTGGTCTCACCTGGCTGTGCCCACCTGGGTACTCAGAACTTTGTCAGACTTGAAGGTTGTGGAGGGAGAGTTTCTTTTCTCTCTTCAGGCTTTCTGTCCAGTTGTGTGGGGGCTGATGGATCCAGTGGGCTTCCAGATGGCTCTGGGGGATTTTCCAGTTGATATGACTGGCACTTCTGTCAAAGCCCTGGTCGATCTCTAGAACACCCAAATGGCTCACGTCATTGACATGAGTTGTCTCTGAACCCACTTCATGGAGCCTATTCAGGATTGCAATACCTCAAGGACCACCTCACTCCCTATAAACCAACATGGTTATCATCTGAGGCCCTTCTTTGGGTGCTTCTGGCCAGAGGCCCAGAAGGGGGCAACATCAGAACAGGCCTTTCCTGCAGTGGCTCCATTTGTTGAATGCTTTCCTCAGGGAAGCTCGCCTAGCGCCTTCATTACATATCTTTAGGCGCCAGGAAAAAACATTTCTCTGTAACCAGGCCTTTAGCTGGTTAATGTTCTATGGCCTTTTAAATGTGTTTGTGGGAGCAGGGTTATTGGTTTCTTTTTGTTTTGTGATGCATTTTGTGTTCTCATTTTGTATTTTTATGTCGTGAACCACCCAGTGATCTTTAGATGAAGGGAGGTATACAAATTCAATAAATAATAAAATAATAACTATAACAATGCCTTCTGTTTGCCTGGATAGAGCTATGTGGGGAAACCTCTAAGTTTTGCTACAGGGCTTTGCACACTTTTGTCTGTGGTCTCATCTACTCAGTGGCATGTGGCTTCAGGAAGTCTCCGCCCCCCCCCCCCAAGGTAATGTGACCATCTAGCTGAAAAACGTTCTTCACCTGTCATATACCTTTTGTTACTGAGAAGTGGAAATGAAATACTACAAGTTATCTAAGAAATGGAGCTGACTCATTGGGTAAAGCAATGAACATTTTATATTTAATTTACATTTTGACATTTTTGCACATAAATAACAATGTAAACCAGTACGTAAACATAAGATAGTTTGTTCTAGCAAAGTAAAAAGCCTGTTAACTTTGGTCAGAGCCTGTTCTTTAAAAAAAACAACACTGATTGTTGCTACATTCACATGTAAAGGTCCTAAACTGAGAGAAGAAGATTTGACATAAAGGAAGCAAATTTTAAAGCTGATGCATATAAATCTTTGTAAAATTTTGTATCAAATACAGGAAAGCACTACAGGCAATTAATAAAAGCAACAGTGTGTCCAGTCATAGTAGTGGTACTTTGGTTTATCCTACAGTTAAATCCTACATTTATGAAACATTGCTACATTTAAATATGTTTGCCTCACAATTTACGGGAGCAGAAATGTAATGAACAGTAGCCCTTCCTTCAAAAAAGCTATATTTAAAGTTTTCCTTGAGCTACTTTTAGACCAGAGATATGTTTGGTATCTTAAATAAGAAGGCATTAGATTGATATCATTTCTGAAACAGTCTAACTCTTTAAGACTATGTTGAGATAGGAATGTATATACACACAGTAGAACAGGGTGTAACAACGCTGTTATTTTTCCCCTCCATTACGTACATGTGATCACGCGATCACCTTTTAAGAAGCAGAGGAAACAATGGCAGACTTCACTCGACATTTTAAACAGCTCTTCCTACCCTTTACCAATCTGTATTATCTCAATCAATCTATTTATTGATCCAGTCAACAGACTGCGCAATAAAAACAAATTACCATTCTGTATTATATTTATACCATACATAGGTGAGTGAGATTTTGTTTCCCCCCCCAGCAACGATTTCTTAAAGTGTTTTCCCCCCCACAGACAAGTGTCTTTTGCAAGAATATGACAGGGATAGAAGACTCAGCCACATAATCTTCACAGAATTCTGTGGGAATTTTATAATATGTGGACAAATTGTTTGTGAGTAATGGTTTGGAGGATTAAGACTCGGAATTAAATTACTGATGATTTCCTTAGCACAGTAGCATGGGCTGGAGGCTGTTAAGTCATACCTTTGGAAGGTGAAGCAAGCTATGCAAGTAAGATTTCATTATAAGGTTTGTCTCACAAACTTAAGTGGTATAAAATATACGCATGCACACACATACATGGTATATTGGCATAAATATCTATAAATATACATGTATTCTTTGCTACACCTTGTATGCCGACATGGTATCTTTGGGCTTAGCAAAACAAAAAAGATTTACAAAAAAGAAAAGAATGTGCCTTCTATCTTCTCCTCTGCACATTTTGGTTTGTTCTCTAAAGTAGCAAAGCATTAGATAAAACAACATCTTCTGCACCACTGGACACACTCAATGAGGTAACTGTTGTTCAGCAACTTTGCAATGCCCTTTTTATCTTTAATTAAATTAACCACAAAACGTACTAATACAAATACTGAGCGAAATCTTGAGTCATATAGGGAAAGGGTGGGGAACCAATAAAGTATGCCAAGAAAGGACTTTGTTAGCAACTTCTACCCAAGGAAAGTAGACAGAGGGAATGGGGTTGGGGGAGATCTGGCACATCTTTCCCGGGGAGCCTAGGAATCAGATTCCCCCTAGTACTTCACTGGCAAAAATCTCAGCAATACTCTCCTTTCAGACAGCATCTTTGGGATAGTATTCCTTGCATATGTATACAAACAGTTTGTGAGAAGAAAAATAATAATTTTGTAATACTATTGCTCTCAATGTCAAGGTATGCAACATGTTTGTTTAGAAAACCTATTTGATGCATTATTTCTGGCAGATGATTTTACTTTCCTATTCATCTTTGACAATGAGGTACTCTAGACAGAAAATCATCGCATCACTCTTTTCTATCCCTATACCAGTATGACGTTTTCCTCTTGGCTGCTGCATACATTTTGGGGCAATTTCACACTTCTACCCACTTTGTTCAGTTATACAGCACTGTTCTAACTGGAGGAAACTCTAGTATTTACCTTTAGCAAAACAAAAACCTAATTTCTAAATCAGGAATGTAACATTCCCCCCTTTGCTTCCCCATCAATCTTAGGTTGCTGGTTTTTATTTGCTAAACAGATGCACAGGAAGAAATTATACAAAGAATGGCCACAAGACAATATATATATATATATGAACACTTATATTCAACCTTATAATGAAACTTCCTATCATTGTGAATATTTTCTATCTATTGCTTTGTTAATGGTAAATTGCATAATAAATTATTACTGGAAAATGATTATGGATAAAAGATTGTCTTTTTTGGAAGTAGCAGAGGTAATACGCAGTCCTTGCCTCTTTTCATGCCCTGAGAATACAACTTTGGAGTTCCTTCTTTCAAATGGAGTAAGATAAACTACTGTAAGCCAAGATTGCTTTGCAGCATTGACACTATATACAAGCAATTGCTACAGGCACCCTGACTTGCCAAGTCATAAATTAAAAAACAACAACACAAACCACTTTCCCATACATACGAATGCACATGTAAGTATGCACATGTGTACACACACTCACTTCTCTCTCGCACACGCACACCCCACAGCATTTAAGGGTCCATTGGTTCAACTGCTTCTTGCTTGACCTTTATAGGTACCCGAGGTAGTGGATGACCTTGAGGCAACTTCACAATTGACATATCTGATGATTCATAAAGGTTACATCCTGAGGAAACCAGCCCATTTCCCAGGTTCCTCTGCAGCGATGCTTTAAGAGTAGCTCCTTCCATCTCTCGTTTAAGCACAGCAAGTATTTCTTTTTCTACTATAGATGCCATGTCAATGTTGTCCTCAACATCGTCCAGCCTGTCTGCACTGTCACTAATGTCAAATTTCTCAATCTCTTCATTGATCCGGTTGAGGTCCTCTGTCGAAAGGGTGGGTTCAGGGACAACAGGGCAGTTGCCTTTCAGGTGGACCTTGAGGCTGCAAAGGTGGATATAGCTCTTGTGGCAATGGATACACTTGTGCGGGCGCTCTCTGGTGTGGAGCCGTTTGTGCAGTTTCAAGTGCACAAACTGGGTAAATTTAGCAGTGCAAAGCTTGCACTGGTAAGGCTTCTCTCCAGAATGTAGCCGCAGGTGGGTCTTCAGGTTGCTCGTGCTGCTGAATCGCTTGTGGCAGACCTGATCAGGGAGGAGAGAATGAGAACCTTAGAAGAAAGGTGGTAGTTTGCTCTTTGCAAATGCATAAGTGATTCTGAAAAAGTGTCATCCAGTCTTTTTACTTTTTCATTTATCTCCATTTAGGAAACCACAACTGACAGCAACAAACAGTTGTGTGTTCCAGTTGTGTGCTCAAGTCTGCCTCAATGTTATTTTGCACCCAAGTCATGATCTCATTATACACTAATTGTGACATACCTGACATTCATGGGGCTTTTCTCCTGTGTGTACCAGATAGTGCTTTTGGAGGTGAGCCAGCTGAGTGAATCCTTTATTGCAAGTAGTACATTTGAATGGTCTTTCTCCGCTGTGTACTCGAAGGTGAACCTTTTAAGAAACAGAACATTTATTATACTTTCGTAATAGCTTCCAAGATAGTGTGTTAAATATCCTAATCTACTTATTGAGTATCTAAAATACCAGGCACTGTTGCTTTTATTACTTTTGCACAAAGTTGCACCATATACAGTTAACTTAGATAGGCTTTAAAAAAGGTTCCCTAAAAAGTACGTTTTTTAAAAATGCAGCAGTGGAATTGTTCTCCAAGTTTCTAGGGCCATTTTGCACTTATTGATGATCCAATGAAGAACACAAATTAAATCTGGCTATTCCATGGATGCTCTCACTTAGCAGTTATCAGAACAAAAGCCCCACAAGGAATGAGAATGAAAAGATTATGTCCACTACATTCTAAAATCAACTTGCTCAATTGCTGCAGGGAGTTATCATTTGAAAATGTCAAAAGGTAATTAAACCCCAAAGGTTTATTAAACCTCAAAAGTTATTACCACAATATCAAGATACTATACAAAAACCAACATAGGTGATTAAAGCCTAGAAGAAACAGGTGCTTAAGAAAGACTATCCAGAGAGACAGTAACCAGATTGGTTTGGGGTTTTGTTTGTTTGTTTGTTTATCCATGAGGTCTAGAAATGATATTTTCCTTCAAAGGCCTACCTTCAAATTAGAGAGCTGACCAAAGGTTTTCGAGCAGACATTGCATTCATACTTTATTTTCCCATTCTGTTTCTTCAGTGGGTATGGGAGGGTTTTGTAACCAGTCATGTTTCGCTTGCTCTTGATAAGATTCATGGCTTCTTCACTGCTGGTGGCAGCCAACACTGCTGAGGTAGGTTTAGGTTGCATTATGTGTTCTGAAGTGGCTGCTGTGCCCGCTGTGGGCGATCCACTAGTTGGGCTACATGGCTTGTCTTTCATACTGGCAGCTGCCCCTGTGATAGAGAAGGCACTGTTATGTGCAGGGATGAGGAAGTCCCTTGGATGGTCAGGTTGCAGCAGCTGTCGGCTTCCATCAGATGGCAAGGAACTTGGAAGTCCTGGAGAGGAGTTCAGCATATGATTGGGGATGCTTCCTCCACTGAGTAGGCTGCTGTAGAAAGGATACATCCTTGGAAAGAGGTTGAAATTGTTGATGCTCATGCCATATGGTGGTAACAAAAATTTGTGGTAGGGAAAGGCTTGTGGGAGATGGCTTGAAGGTGCATACCCGGAATATGCCCCTAATCCTTCTGAGTTATAGAGTCCATTCAAGTAAGGATAAGGTTCTCTGTGCTCTTGAGTCATAGAAGCTAGGGGTGAGACTGTAACTGGGCTGCTGTGAGGGCTTGAGCTTTTCAAACTTTGGTCTGGACTACTTCTTGCTGAGGGGCTTGGTGTGGTAGAAGACTGGATAGGTGAGTGGGCAATGTAACTTGGCCTCTCAATCCTATAAACCTTCAGGTAATCTTCAGGGATGGGCGGTCGGATTGGGTAGACAATACGAGGATAGAAAGGCTTTTCAGGACTACAATTTTTTCTCAAGCCCTCCAAGTCTTTTTCTTGAGTATGTGGATAAATGTGGCTATAAAATAATTCCTTTCCTTTGGGATTACTGGAATCAGTTTTCAGGATTTCCTTCACACTGTGCTCTCTTCTGGGAACAGTTTTTAGATAAAGTTCATCTTTGTCATTAGCTGGCTGCTTTGGATTAACATGGCTTTGTGCTGAAATACAAAAACAAGGCAATGAATTTTTAAGGCCAATAAAGACAATTTACAGACATTGGTCATTAGCCTCTGCCTTAAAACACACATATAAATAGTCATTCCTAGGTATTTGCATTGGTGGAAGGACTAGCACCGCATTATACTCAACAGAAATAAACTCAGTAGCTACTTATTAAATCCTGGGTGATTATAATGATCCAGTCAGTTCATTTCTGCTACATTTGTTCTAGTCTCACCTTTCTTGTATATTATTGGATTAAACTGATTACAGAAAACACAGTAGCACCTGATGCATACTTTGTAGATAACAAGGCAGCTTACTATATACCTTTCTAAGGCAAAAGGATTTGGCTGTTCCAGCTCCCTCGACTGCTTCTAACGAAAACAAACAAGTTTCAACACTCATCACTTTAAAAGGTGACTGAGTGCCTTGCAATCATGCATGAATAACAGAACTATGGATGAGACACACAAGAGGTGCTACTAAAAGCAAAAAAAGACTATTGTAGCTCCTTAAAGACTTTGTTGATTTAGCTAATAATTTTGTAAATTTATTGTGGCATGAACTTCTGTGGACTCATACCCACTTCCTCTGATGCAGGAAATGAAATCTTACTAGGCAGGTATGCATAAAAGAGAAAATTGTAAGGTGGGAACCGAATGCTAATAAGATGCAAAAATTACAATTAGTGATAATCAGAGCTTAAACAAATATTAAGTAGGCACACCTTTTACAGTAGCAGATTGGTGATAATTGCTTCAAGATTGCTAACTGCATTAAAACTTGTAGTGAGCCAAAATACTATTCTCAAGAAACAGTCATGATTAATTTACCAATGACAAATATACTGTCACTGGTAAACTAATTAACACATGTAGTGTGATATATAACCCCAAAAGTGATAGCATTGAACTTCATGATTCATTTGTTACTGTGAGTCTTACTCTTGTCCAAAATCTAACATTTTGAATTAGGCTTCATACCTAGTAATCCACACAACAACCCTGTGGGCCAGTAAGTGACTGGCCCAAGTTCACCCAATGAACTTCAAGACTGCGTGGGGATTTGGTCTCCCCTGATCTCCCATGCCCTAGTCTAATACTCTAACCACTACACAACACTTGGTCTAGAGTTTGCCAGTTCCACATTTTCCTAGAGGCATTTGGGGGGGGGGAGAGTTATCTTCCTATTTTTTATTATTTTTTTGCTTTTGATCAGCTATATCTTCATTAAGCCAGCAACTTAGAAAAAAACTCAGAGGAACATATCAGAAGAACAGATGAAAAGTGATGTGTGTATGCCCACATGCATAGCAGAAGAATAGAGTGATAGATGTGGAGCTATTAGACAGTCTGCCATGCTCCTATCAGCCTTCTGGCAAAGTCTTGTCACAAAGGCAAGAAGTTAAAATTGTCATTTGTGGTGGTGGTGGTGGTGGTGTACACACACACACACACACACACACACACACACACACACCAAGATAAATATCAGAGAGAGAAAAAGACACTCCTAGATAAGGTACAGGAACCAGAGCACGTTTCTGCTGGTTCACATACTGATCCAGTATGTTCACGCTACATGCAGTGAAGTACTGAAGTGAGTCTTTTGTGGTCCCTTCACAATATGCTTTATGTTCAGTGTCATTTGTGCAAAAATCCCTATTAAGCCTATATCCTCGCCTACAAAAAGCACCTGCTTCCCCCACTTCACATTCATAAACTAAATTTAAGCCATGGTTTCTACGAGTTTTCACTCTATGCCAAAAAAATGCTGTTCCTTGTCTTAATACATACAGATCAACTGTAAGGTTAGCATATCTTCATCACAAGTTACACCCAATCTGAGGAGCATTTTTACCAGTATAGCCACTTAGTGCTCAGTGAAACAACATAAATGGCAAATGTACAGTGAATCGTTTTCTGCCCAGATCTAGTTTAAAGAACCTTTCTTTTGTGGCCCTCCTAATACTTGCCTGAGAGATTTAATTCTAATTCTTTCCCCTGAGACCTTGAAAAATAGCTGTGGGCGTGCAGAGTAATTTCTTGAGTAAATGCTGCTGAACATTTTGAGTAGAGGATTTTAATAATGCTGATTCACATTTTTGTTCTAAATAAGGCATCTGTTTTGTGAGATGAATGAGAACCTAGAAGTTCTGAGGTAAAAGAATTTCCAGACAAGCTAAGAATGGAGATGATGTTTATCGTTACATCATTCATGACCCATTTAGAAACAAATTACGTTCACAACAAATTCTGCTGAAGTGTTTGGCCATGATCTAGAACCACCATGAGTGTGCTGGGTGACCTACTCTAGTTACCAGGAGGGTGTCAGCCCTGTGGTCATGATCCAGGTAGAGGCCCCCAATTTGCAGCCTTCAATTTGCAGCGGGGTGAATGCTACTATCTTCTCGTGTCAAGGCCCTAAATTATAGCAAACTTCATGATAAATTTTGTGTGTAGGTATAATGCATATTTTAGACACACACCCCATTGGCAAAAGACATTATTTGCATGCAAGTCTGCTGTAATCTACTTACTTATATTCATCACCAGGTCTCCAGTGGAAGGATAGTGTAACCTATCCGCAAAGTCCCGGCAATACCACACAAGCAATTCCTGGCCAGGTGGTATGGGTTTGATAGTATAAAAGTAGACATCCATTCCATTCTGACAAGCAGCCAGGTTCTGCTCCTGAACAGAATGTGCTGGGTTTACATAACGCATCCAATTGCTCTTTTCCTCATTGAATCCATCAATGAAGTGGAGAAGCTCACCACCAGAATATATCTGCAGAGAATGGAAGATAGAAATGTAAGGTATAAATGGAAAAGAACCCTTTTTTTAAAAAAAAGGCAATGAAATATACTAGTGGATGGTAAGTACCCTTTATAGACTGTAGGAGATGATCCAAATGGAATATGCTTTGTAACTTTTTTTCTGATGCCATGTGTATTTTGATGCTTAGCATTCAAATGAAAGCATACTACTTTAAAGTTCAGTATTCAATGCCTCTGCTTTAAGACTCTTGGACTGCTGGTCAACAAGTGGGTGGTATTATTGACTTAAGGTCTGACTGTGTGCTTGCAATAATGTGGTGAGTCACTTTTGTAAAGACTGATTAGCATGGTTATGTCACAACCAATTCCTTGCCCTTGTCTTCCTGCCCCCCCTTATGGCCTCTTTACTTGCTGTTTCCTACCACCACCACCACCACCACCCAAAGCTTTAAGCTACGCAAATATCAACCACCCCAAAGTCCTAAAATGACACTTGAGCATACTTGGAATGTAGCCCTTTTGTTAAAGGACTGGTGGGGTGAAGTGAACTGTATTTTGTATAACTAACTGGAGATCTGGAAGGGGGCCAGATTGTGACAGCTGCTCAGCTGGTATGTTTGAGAAAATATAACTCTACAGCATGTGACGGAAGAACAAATAATGTACTGATTCAATATATCCTTGTTTTCCAGTGTGCATCTGAGAATATGAAAGTGAATATAGAAAACTCCTGACAAAGCTGTACCTGTAGACTGTAGTGTAGCCTTGCTTTCAGTTTACCACTGAAACTATGGCACAGTTAACTATAGTTAACTGGTAACTATAAGGTTGTGAGGTTTCTTAAAAAAAAGTTTCACAAGTCATCATGTTCAAATAGGAAATATTTGTTTTTTTCCCTCTTTCCTGCCTTGTTCCAAAGGGCTCTGGGCCAGTGAAAATATGCATCCCTGTTTCATTTTACTTAAAAATAAAATCCCCATGAAGTTAGTGCCATAGATTAGTGTAATGGCTGGGATAGAATTTCAGTTTGGCTTTCCCATGTCCGAATGCAATGTTGCACCATTTCCCTGTGCTTTTTGACATGCACGTTCAATTTCTTCTGAATGCTGTTTGATGTAAGAATCGACTTGAGAAGTCATTAAAAAAAAAGCAGCAACAAAAGCTGGCCTTTTAACACAGGCAGTAAACACCAGAATCACTTTCTTACTTCCTGTCATTTGAGGCTGAGGAAATACATGTGGCTTCATCAAAGAAGCTTGAGAGATTTTGCGGTGTTTTTGTTATGAGAAAGATGGAACAAAGCCTGAAGAATTATGCACTCAAGAGGAGTTTGTTAGCTCCGATTTGCAAGCTTCCAGGAACTGAGTTCCATTGATGTACACTTCTATTACAGATAGAAACTACTTTCCGAAGTTAGACCAAGTGACTTCCAGTCATCTTTCCAGAGCTAGTAGAATTTACTGTATTGCTTTCTTCAAAACACACACATCTCACTGCAGTAAGATCGAATGGCCTCATAAAACTTTATTTTGCCACCTCACCAGATTTCCGTGTATCGTGTGGAAGATTAAAAATGTGCTGAGTCATACTGTAGCAATTACAAGAAATGACATCACCCTGGAGTTTGCACAGCATATTCATGCCTTCTCTTTTTAGAGGGTATATTTTGAATGGAACATTTATGCTTACATACAACAGATGTTCCTGTTCCTGCCAGCCAAATCAGGATGTCTTTTATATGACATGTGGGAAATTATCTTCCACAATTTCCTTTGCATGTGCAAGACTGTTTTCAGGCCCTTAGGAAAGAACCTTTTCTACTTGGAAAGTGTGTGAAGCAAAAGAATAAACAAAAGTAAATACCAAGACTTTTCAGAAGGCACATAACACAAGCATGATGTTAGCTTCCTCAATGAAAGTCTGGAATAACATCCTGTTACATAGTCAGAATCCTCTTGTAAGATTTGTTTAATTACTTAAATGTGCTAATGACTAGTCTGAAAGCATGCATGCTTCTAGGGTGAGGCCAAGATATTTTCCTGCCTGAGATGAAGGAAAAAATGGCACCCTACTCCATTCCATGTACTGACGCATGGCATACCCTTCAACACCTCACCACTGCTCTCTGCCCCTTAGCAATTGCCACCTAAGGCAGCTGTTTTACTCTGTCTAATGGTAGGGCCAGCCCTGAACCTTTCTTTAGTTCTCCCGATGTGAGTACTGAAAAGGCTTGATGACAGGGAACAGGGATGCAAGGGAGGGGGTGGGGGGAAGTCAAGGACTAGGGTTAGAAAATAAGACTTTCTGGAACTATTCATGTTTGTTGTTGTTGTTTTTTTTATGTTTGTTTTGGTGTTATGTGTTTTGTTTTTGTCTATATAAAATGTGAAAACCCAATAAAAATTATTAAAAAAAAAAAAAAAGAAAAAAGAAAAGGCTTGATGACAGCTGCCAACTGGCATCTCCCAGTGCAGGAGATTCCTTAAAGTGTATTTTATTGAAAAAATACTAATGGTTAAGGAGAACAGAGAATCAAGTCACACTTGTTTCTATTGAATCATTAAGATGTAACAAAGGAAAACATGGAAACAATGTTTAAATGGCCACCTTTCAGAATGACATGTGATGTTGGAATGATCTGATACGTGGCAAACACTCAGATGCAGCAGGACAGTTTCCTGCTGCCGCCACACAAAGGTTTAAGCTATGCAACTATCCCCCACCCTGAATCCTAAATTAAAACTTATTTGTACTTGGAATGCAGCCCTTTTGTTGAAGGATTGGGTTGGGTAAAGTGGATTGCAGTTGGTATACTTTAGTAAGCCTCTAGCATGGAAGAAACCTGACAGCTTTGACATTAGACACTCGTGTCTTCGGAAATTTTCTTCCTGCAGCCTTTAAAAAAAAGAATGATGTGTGTTGTTGTTGTTGTTTTTTAAAGCTAAATTCTTTTTATAATATTTATTGTGCTAAGAAGTGACATCTTGCCTAAGGCATTACAGAGGCACATATCTGTTATTTTAGCCCAGGGATGGGGAATGTCTGGCTTTCTGGATGTGTTTCCATTCTAACTCCCATCAGTCCTGGCATGGCCAGTGGTCATGGATGGTGGGAGTTGTAGTCCAACAACTTCTGAATTTTTAACCTTACAACAATCCTGTGAGGTAAGTTAGATGAAGACAGGTGTAGCCTACATTATGTCTCCAGATATTGTTGGACTACAGCTCCCATCATTGGTCATGCTGGCTGCAGCTCTTGGAAGATGGGAGTCCAACAATATCTGAAGGGCACCCTGGATTAAGAGACAGGGCCTTGCTCAAAACTACCTGGTCAGTGAGTGTCCAAGCCCAGTACTCCAGCCAGGAGGTGCTATTTCCCTTTATCACAACTATTAAATAAGGGCATCTTGAGACAACAGGCTTGGCAGCATTTTAGGAAGTGGCCCTACTAACTTGTGCAATGGAAAACAAATAGCTTATTACAATAGTTCAGTACTTCAAAAAGTAATTAATCACAGAGTACAAGATTGAGAAATATTACTAATTAGTCTGAGAAACATCCTAGGGTAAGGTTCATAGTGAAATTAAGGGATAGATGATTAAAAAAAACCTGGCACTGTATAGGATTGTGAATCAGCAGGCTTTAAAAAAATCTGATCTAACAATGATGTATTGTAGGACAAATAAAAAAGATGCTTTCTATCATTCTCAGTTCACTCAGTTGTATTTCACTCAGTGTATGTTCACTCAGTTCACCTGTATTTCTGTTAACATATTGCCACCTCAACCATCACAACTTAAGCAGGTGTCAACACTGAAGTGTGGTTTCTTTTCAGTGGTGCTTATTTAACGAACTATTTACGCATAACCATTAGTTTTTCCTACTTACCCGCCAAAAGTATTTTCTGTTTGCATCCTTAGGAACTGTGCCATTGGTATAGATTTCACCAACCAGGGGTCCAAAGCGTGTTCCTTTAGGGATAATGTCTTTGCTAATAACTCCAATAACCTGAAAGGAAAAGAGCACATGTCAAACCATTTAAACATTAGGAAGAACTTCCTGACAGTAAGAGCTGTTCGACAGTGGAATTTGCTGCCAAGGAGTGTGGTGGAGTCTCCGTCTTTGGAGGTCTTTAAGCAGAGGCTTGACAACCATATGTCAAGAGTGCTCTGATGGTGTTTCCTGCTTGGCAGGGGGTTGGACTCGATGGCCCTTGTGGTCTATTCCAACTCTATGATTCTATGATTCTATGAAATAAGTTTATGCGTTCACACAGGAAAAACAGTTTGATACAAAAGTGCCCTACATTGTTATTACAGGGAAGCAGTCAATGTAAAGGCAAGGGATCCCCCGCCCTCCTTTGTCTCTAGAGTGGCATTTATTTCGGCACTTAGTGATGTTGCAAAACTATAATCTTTTGGAAATAACACATACCAAAAAGCATTGCAAAGCTGAGTAGAATTTGTTTATCTGTTTCTGTGATCACCTGACAGTATGACATGAGTACTGGCTCACTCTCAAAGATCTTATAGGTGAATGAACTATAAAAGTGGCCTTAGGAGATTAGAGAAAGAGAAAGCTGAGAAACACTAGTGACCAATGGTCTAACTGCCTGATTTTTGCATGGAAGAAATGAACTCAGAACTTGAATGTGACATTGAGATGCAATTATCACATGCTATAATACCCATTAAAAAATGAAATTTCTGTGGAGAAAGAGACCAATAAAGCCTGCAGACATGACATTTGAAATCTACCTTGCTAGTTACATATTTATGTTTATAATCCTGGAATTCTGATGACACCCAGCCCTGTTTCTCTGTTAATTTGAGTCAGGTGTCACAGTGCAGGTCCTGAACCAGTTCTTGGATGCGTTGGTGGGCGGGATGAGGGCCAATAAAAGCTGGAGTGGAATCCTAACAAGATGGAGGCTCTGCAGGTGAGTGGTTCATGGATTCAGGATCTGGGCCTGGCTAGAATTGCACATCCCTGAAGTAGATGTTTTATAGCTTGGGGTGCTGCTTGATCTTTGTCACTGGAGGCTCAGGTGACTTTGCTGGTCCAGAGTGCTGGTTACCACTTTTGGCTCGTGTACCAGTTATGCTCTTTCCTGGACAGAGTCACCCATGCACTAATAGTAGCCTCTGGATTGAATTATTGCAATGTGCTCTATATGAAACTGCCCTTACAGTTGGTATGGAATCAGCAGCTAGTGCAAAATGTGGCAGCTAGTATGCTTAGTGGAGCTTCCCCCAAGGCACACATTGCATCTGTGCTAAAAGGCACTGGCTGCCAATTCACTACTGAACCAAATGTAAGGTTTTGTCACTGACTTGTAAGGCCCTGAAATGTTCAGGACCAGGATCTCTGACAGAGTGCCTCCTTCCTTCAGCACATTTCAGTCTGTTCACAGAGATCGTAGGAGGATGCCCTTCCAATTTCACTGTGCCCATTGGAAATGCATCTGGTGGTGACCTGAGAAAGGGTTTCCCTGCAGTGGCCCCCATGCTGTGGAATAACCTCTCCTTAGAGACATGGTGGGCATCTGCAATGGTGGTATTCTACCAGTTCCTGAAGATGTATCTATTTGCGAGGTCGTTTCCGAGAAGCGATTTCTTATAACAGCTCTATTAGAATATCAGTGGTATTTCTGTTTTAATGTCTGTTTGTTTTGTTGCTTTTATCTTGTAAACTCCTTGTTGCTTTACAGTGAAAGGCAGTATATAAATGTTGAAATAAATAAATGTGCTCTACCCAGTGAGCATAAATAAATCTTACACCAAATGTGTCTTAAATCTAAATAGTATAGTCACTGATCACCTTTGTATGTAGATCTTTAACTTTCTTGATGTGGATATGATCAAGGAAAAACAGAGTCACTATGGGAAGTGTAAAATATACTAGCACTTCAGCTTCCTCCTTACCAGTAATTAAACCATGCACCCCAAAACAGGAATAAGGTCATTATTTATCAGAAAGGCATGCCTGTCAGTATCTCCTTTGCAATACAGTGCTTAAGTAAAGGGGCTTTCCTCTCATTCTTTTCACCTCCACTAAGCCTGCTAAATTTTAATTTGCTCTCTATATTGTATATACCAACAGAGTCAGTAAACTAGGAAACATGAATAAGGACTTCAAAATACTGGTGTCTGCAGCTTGAATGGAAAGTGGGGGATGAATATAAGACATTTGTTCCACAGACTTAGTAAACATTCATGTTAAAGCTAATGAGTCATGTTCTTCTCACATTACTAACCAGTTTCATTATGTCTGCCAAAATAACGAAAGGACAAAATTGCATTATGGATCCACTGTACTTAACTTGAAAATAGGCATATTAACTACAACGTAACATCCCAGTATGGCCTCTCCCTTTACTCAAGTCTACTGTAATATAAGTACTGTACTTAAATTACAGTGTGCAATTATTAGTGAATGTAATATATTGAATATTTTGCAAAATTAACTAGCTTTTGAGCCACGGTAACTATCTACTGTTTTTATACTGGAAGACCAGAGGCAACTCTCTTGCTTTATTTTATTTTTATTTATGGAAAGGATTATTGCTTCATGGGCAGGCAGCAAAGGTTTAACTTTCTGCATCCTTCCCATGCCTGTAACTATCCTCCACCTGGTCTTTGAAGAACTTATTCAGAAATGAACACATCTCTTAAGTATTCAGATATGTTATACTAAACGTTTTCAGATAAAAGACATCTAGCTGCTTGAGTCTATAATTAGCATTATTCAACTGATCATACTGTTGCCTGCCTGCCTGCTTTGCCAATTCTTTGTGCTGACACACACACCCCACTAAATACTCCACAGTCTACCAGCTAAACTCTTGAGGCCCTGTCTCTACTACAGAAACATAATTTTACTGGGATGGCTTCTCAAAGAATTATGGGAATTGTAGTTGCACAATGCCTGAGACTTCTCTGATAGAAGTCCCTGCCCTTACTGCAAAACTACAATTGCTAGCATTCTCTGTTAAAGCAGTTTATGTCGGCAGAGTGGGAATACCCTTAACAGAACAGAACAAGAACAAACACTGAAATGTAGGATTCTGCCTGCCATGACTCTGACTGGAGAGTTTGTAGCTATTGTTTCATGTATGTTTTCAAAGTCTTTTTTTTTTTTAAAGTCAAACCAGTTGTGCATCTGCACTGAAAACAGAATGAACAGGGACTTTCAAAAACAAGTAGAAACATGCCTAATGACTGTGTTTATTTTTGTCATTCCCGTGCATTTTTCATAGAGAGGTGAAAAAGGCAGATGTTCTTCTTGCTTTCCCCATCTTTCTTGATTTACATTCTGTTAAACGTTCAAGAAAAGTTCACACACACACACACACACACACACACACACTCTGATATCTTTTAAGTTTAATTCAAAGCATACTGAGGTTTTCAGAACGTCTAGGAATCAGTATTACTTGGAACTTGTCAAATAGAAACAGTTTGGGGATTTTTGTACAGTCATACAAAGCATGCCTGCCCCAACAGTATTTTATACTTTGCACTATGCCCTTTGGAAAGATGACTGTGTGATATCCTATTCCCATAGTGTGTGCATATGGAGGAGGGAATGGGCAGCAAATGGGTGAGTTAAGCCTATTGGTGGCAAGGGAAATGAGGACAGAGTAGAATGTTTGCATCTTGCTCAGAACCCTTGCCAATTTGGACCATACTGCCTGAAGGGTGCAAACTCTAAACAGAAACAAAATACACAACCTTCCCCAGATTTTTTCCTTTTAAAAAATCCCATCCTATAAAAACTTCTCAGGTTTTTGCTTGAAGAAGAAAAGGGAGAACGAGAGAGAGAGAGAGAAAGCTGTGTCACTTTTTGCAATTCACTTCAAGGGCAGTAACCAACAGGTGCCCTTTACAGTTGCATGGCACTCCAGAAGGCAAGGCAATACCATCAGATGTGCTTTCTGAGAGGGAAGAGCAATACAAATGTATCCAGGGCTGGGAAAGTGTGCATCAGAAAGATGCATGAAAAACGTCTTGTCTGCAAAGGCCTATTTTACTAGCTTCTGTGATACCTTGTTACTTCAATATTTACTGTAAACAGCACGTACCTCTTTCACAATATGCAGAATATTGTCATAGGTCATTAACCAGTAATTAAGCAGATGTTTTAACAAATACATTTTAGAACAGCTATATCTAAATTGTGGTTTCTAGGAATTTGACAACAGGGAAAAGCTTATAGTACTAAAACAGGAGATTCTGAATGTTACAGTACTTCTGTATACATCCAAGATTCTGCCCAAACTGGGGGAAAGACTTTGGCTGGGGTTCACAAGAAAGTTCATATCTTGATGAATTGGCCTATTTCATGACCATATTATTGTTATTAGTCATCACAGAGGCCTTAGCTTGTACACAAACACCAGAAAAATACTCCCATTACAAACCAAAAGACAGAAATGGAAGTTAATTAGGCCTTATTGGCTACTCCAGGCATAAACTGACATTTCACACTTGTCCACAAGGTGTCATTAGGCACACCTGTTTTATAAATGACACTGTACAAACTTAGAACATCAAATATATGACAGACCCTGTAAAAACGATATAGGTGCTCTTATGAATGTTAAAAACCCCTCTTTAGCATCTGTTTTCTTCCAGATTCTCATGTCAATCATAATGGCATATTTTTTAAAGTTCACTACATTGTTACAGTTTAACATTACCTACAATGATAACAGTTAAGGACATTTTCTTTCCCCCCCTCTAAAGCAAGGGTGAAGAATTAGTCGTCCTCCAGATCCTACTGGACAACAAGTCCCATCATCCTTAACTATTGGCTAGGGCTGATGGAAATTGAAGTCCAACAACATTTAGAGGTTTCCTTATCCTTGCTCTAAAAATACAGCCACGACATCAACACCTGGAAACATGCATACCTCTCCCAATGAAATATTTTTACACTTAAATACTACCCAATTATTCCCTCAGTGCTTAGGAATTACATACCTGAAGTATATAAAGCCAGAGTTCCGTAGCACTAAAAGGTGGAGTTAACATGTCCCCCTGCCTAGTGAGTTTAACATGGTATGTGGCATAATGACACTAACGTCATCCTGTGACAGTCAGCTGAAAGCCAACTACGAAGAGGCAGACAGCTGTTTCTTTACTATCAGAAAGCAACAGGATCTCAAACATTCCAGTTCATCCTGGTTTGTAAGAAGATCCCCACTCTGCTTTTACTAGTGCTTCAGGTGTACAAGCTACAGAATTACTTCTTTACTCAAGTGGTGTTTAAAAGGCCCTTTAAAAAGATGACACATTTTCTGAACTCAGGAAGAAAACAACTGTTGGAACTGACCAGGGTCCTAATGAATTATTGCCGGAGCTACTGTATGCCTTCTATAAACACTTCAGTGTGCAGTTGAAAAGATTCAGTTCTCTCGTTCTTCATCTGTCCTGACAGAAGCCACTTCCAAAGATACTTTATGGGCATCCCTGACCTTTCAGCTATTTCACTACATTTGTCTCTGTCACTAGCCTGTGCCATAGAGCACAACCTGACATGATGGGAGCCTCTGGACAAGAAATGGTACCGCATATTTTTCTCTCCAATTCTTTTTTTTATTTTTTATTTTTAAGGAGAAAGAAATGGGAATATGTCTCCTGAAGAGTCCTTTCTTTCTTAAAAATAGCTTTAGAAATAACTGCCACCAAGAGCAGTATGTATGTAGTTGAACACACATGCTATTACTATTTCAGTGGGCCCTAACATAATACCGAATCAAACAATACTTAACCAAACAAGTAGGAACTGGATTGACAGCCAGGTGTCGAGAAAGAATGATTTAATTTTAACTCCCTGTTAATTTAACTTCCACTTCCCCAGTATTACCATGATGACTTGTTCACTTAGCATGTTGTTTTGAACAATGAAAACTTTCGTTCTTTTGTTTTTCAGCTACGGTGACTGAAAGAATGATGCAGCTGAAAAGAGGGCCTACATCCTATAATTTATTCTTTTTAGAAGGGTGGGGCGAGAGGAAATGTTTTCTTATTGTTTCCTTTTCACAAATACACATAGCAACAACATTAGCAGCTATCCTTTTATACATAAAGAAGGCACGTAAGTGATGGATGTTAGCTCATGGGTCAGCATACTATGTTATATAAAGGTTTAAATACTGACTTTCTTCAAGCCACCTTGATAAATTTTATGTTTATAAACATCTAACACTGCTTCTCAGCCTAGCCTAATTCATGGGGTTGTTGTGGGGATTAAATGATGAGTGGGAGAACAATGTGCACCAAGGTAAGATGTAAATGCCATGTAATAAATAAAATGTGTTTTATGTGGGCTAACCTTTGAAGACCGCTCATAAAGTGCAGTTAGTACAAAATACGGCAGCTAGGATATACTGGGGCAATGTGTGTGGAACACATCTCACTACTCTTAAAATAGCTGCAGTGGTTTCTGGACCCAATTCAAGGTGCTGGCTTTGACTTTTAAAGCCTTAAATAGTGGGACCTAATATAACTCAAAGGAATGCTTTCTCCCACATGATTCTATCCAGGTATTAACGTCCTCACTGGAAGCTACTCTGTAGGTTCTTCATGATGACCCCTCAATAGAGCTTTCTCTGTCATAGCAGCCTTGGCTTAGAATGTTCTCCCAAATAAGACCTGCTTAGTCCCATCTCTGTTTTATTTTGCAGGCAAGGCAAACACCTATTTACCCAGGCTTTTTAATGTGTATTAGCTCCCCCCCCACCGCCCCCTAGCCTGCTTTCAGTATTTTATCGTTGATCATAGAAACAGTATAAATAAATAAGATTTAGGAGTAGTTACAACACAGATCATATGTCCAACAATTTATCCAATTTCACTTGAATTAAATTATTTAGCTGTGATCAAACAGCCAAATATACCTTACAATGAATGTTCCTATATAGATAAACAAAGCCTCAAAAAATAAGAACTGAAGTCAGTCACTTTAAAATGATAAAGGTAAAGGTACCCCTGCCCATACGGGCCAGTCTTGACAGACTCTAGGGTTGTGCGCCCATCTCACTCAAGAGGCCGGGGGCCAGCGCTGTCCGAAGACACTTCCGGGTCACGTGGCCAGCGTGACAAAGCTCCATCTGGCAAGCCAGTGCAGCACACGGAAATGCCATTTACCTTCCCTCCAGTAAGTGGTCCCTATTTATCTACTTGCACCCAGGGGTGCTTTCGAACTGCTAGGTTGGCAGGCGCTGGGACCGAGCAACGGGAGCGCACCCCGCTGCGGGGATTTGAACCGCCAACCTTTCGATCGGCAAGCCCTAGGCGCTGAGGCTTTTACCCACAGCGCCACCTGCGTCCCTTTTTAAAATGATACCACTACATAATCTCCAAGTATTTGACAAGCCTTCATGGAAAGGTTAGTAAAAAAAAATACAATCCAAGCACATGCATGTGCACATACACAACACAGGTGTATCTCGGAACATTACTCTAACTACAGATGTTAATGACAGTATTAATATTTCATAAGAATGTTTTTCTCCATTAAATCAGCTCATTACTTACATAATTACATGAGGTGATATTTGAGTAATCTCTCAAAAATATTATGACAGAGAATGTTTATTTGTGCAAATTGAGCCTACCAAAATCTACGAAAAGCTTTGTTTAGCCCATGCCCGTATAAAAGATGCTGTTCTCCAACCATTTCTTTGTAAATGAGGAGTAAGTATTAGATTTATTGAGTTATATTGGCATTATTCTTGAAAGCTGAGCAGGTATCTCTTATTTTGTTTTCCATTAATGAATCAGCTGAAATCCAGACCAGTAAACAGATTATTGGATTTTGATCTGGGGCTAGCCACAAGATTGGGCAACTCACCATCTCTTGATCTTAGCCCACCCCCACCCCACCCTGCCGATCAAATGACAATTATGAGAATGTGAAAAGGAACACGGTAAAGGCCCCAAACATAGTTAAATCTGTGGCAGCACATAATGAAGAAAGTTACAGATATCTCAATTCTAAAGGGAGTGTGAGGGGCATGGAATCAAGGAAGAATAAGTATTTCCTTCTGCTAACTTTTCACTTGACAAAGGAGACTATAATGAAATCAAATGAGGATACTGGCTATCCAGATTCCTTAGAAGAATCCAGATAAGTAGTTAATTATGAGAAACAACCACAAACATTTCAAGAACTTAAAGTACTGTTCAAAACAGCCTCGGCAGTAGTTCCAGACCTGTGTGTAGTAAGACAGATGTAACCCAGTATTCTCAGAGTTCAGCGTATATAAAAGAGTAAATGGGAGCTGGACTTCCTATTCCCTACAGCAAACCACCAGAGCCCAAAAAGCTCTACTGAGGATTAGGAGCCTCTGCTGAATGGATTACGGGGGAAGGGGGATTCCCCCCCCCAAATCATGCCATGGTACCTTCCATAAGTGGAACTCCCACAGGTGGAAGGTGCTTCTGCCTCATTTTGGGGGACCCCCCTTCTCCCACAGTCCATCCCACTCAGCAGAGGCTCAGACCTCTTGGTGAAGCATGTTTGGGGGCAGGGGGGTGGGTTGCAACGGCAAGCAGGAATGTCAGCTAGCTCTGTGCTTAACTCTGGATCCAAGCCATTATTTACACATATTCATGTTTGCCAATACAAAGCCAGCAATTTTAAAAAAGTTTTTTCAGCCAGCTTGTGATGTGGCAAAGAAGATCAAACCAAGCAAGCGAGGCCACCCTAGCACAGAAAAATGATGTTAGCTGCTTCCTACATATTAGCTGATGTTCAGGCTGATCAATTAAGTGCCATTTGTCAACAGTTTCACAGTATCCCCACCTAAGTCATGTGCATGGTATATACTAGGTACATTTTAAAGCTTCTAATTCTGTTTCTCATAGCTAATCATTTAATTGGGCTATATGGGAGTGTGAAATAATGCAAGTCCATAGAGATAACTAGCCTATTACAAGTTTCCTGGTCATTCCCCAAAACTGACATCCGGATCCAGTTTATATCAGTTGAAGTTCTGGTCCCCTTTCTACATGCAAGCCTTTCCATGCTGTTTGTTGTAGGAGGATACATTTAATAACTAGAAAGGAATGAATTTACACCCTCCCTTAGCTCCGTGGTCAGTTTATTTAGCCACAGTAGCAGCACAGGTTATAGCTGTTCCACCACAAGTTGCAGGACAGGGACAAAAATGATGGGCCGTCCCTACCATTATTAACTAGCTGAACTTCACGCCTAGCTATAATAGCTACTCTATATGAAGGAATAAACAGGCAACCAATTGCTCATCCGGGATAATTTTTTCCAGCCCTTCTGAAACAACAACAAAGAATGTACCCACTCCAGAGACATGGACTGAAATATACCTGTGCGTCCAGCTACAAATAAAGGTGCACTGCCCTAGATAAACAAGTCACATAAATACAGGCTACTTATTTAATGACCTGGCCTTAACATCATCCTTTCTTCTTGGAACCCTATAAAGAACTGATACAATAAGCCTATTAAAAAAAACCACCTTTGTCTAATAATTCAAGGAAAAGCAACCCATTTCAATGCAACCATAGTGTTTCACTACCTGATCCAGGAGTAGAGAATATTGTTCTCTCCTACAGATAGGTATGCTTAGAACCCGAATCTACAATACAATCTTTATAAATTTCCATTCCTAAATTAAATAACATTCTTGTCTATTTAGCAACGCAGACATTAGTCGATTTATGCCAGTTTGGAGATGTTTGTGCTTTCCTGTGCAGAAGGTATTTTCTCCAGGTGCATTTCTAGGGGTGAACCTTGGAAAGCCGTGGCACCCAAACGTTAGAGAATGTAGAAATCAAGAAGACAAACCCACTTCCAAGAACAATGTGATCTGGCTACCAGGTTTGAATCATCCTTTGCAAACATGTTCTTACCTCTTTGCCATGTCCTGCATATTTGAAAATCAAGTTCCTTGGCAAGGAAGACTCAGCCTGGGTTACATTGCAGCCTTCTGTGCTGGGCTCCGTGGGGTGATCATTTACAATGTAGGTACACTTGTCTTCAAATTCAGCCTCTGTCCATAGAGTCATGTCAGCATCCTTCATGTCCATTTTCATTATCAACTCTGGTCCTTTTCTTCACTGTGCTGGGATTCACAATATACGAGCTACACAGTGTGGCAGCCTGGAAAAGAAAAGAAAATTTACTTCCCATTCCTTTCTCAGCACCTCTAGCATTGTGACCTAAATGCTGTCTATTGGCAAATAGATGGCATTAGTGGGATAGCTGAGGACTGACACCATATACCCTATACCCTATAAATTGAGCTGCCTTCTTTGAAGGAATGCTTTCAAGAGCTGGGGCTGGTAAAAATAACAAAGTCACAAAAAGTAACAGGAAAAGCATGTCTGAGAACAGCACCTGTGCACACCTCTTTAGAACCTTCCCTCAGTATCTGAACAGTAGGGGTGGGGGATGAATCTGCAGATTCAAGGCTTTGTGTGCAAAAGAGCCTGTGGAAAAGCTGCCTTGGAAAAGTGTCATAAACAAGGAAAGGAAAAGGAAGGAACTGCTGTCTGCGTCTGAATGGGCTAAAAATGGAAAGTGCACGTTGGACGAGCGGAACACAGGCTTGCCTTTTCCAAATGGGGAAGGCTGAACTTTCCCACCGGCTTCTAACACACAACTTTCAAAAACAACGCTCCCCTCCCCTCTATTGACATCCTCTTATCCTCTGACACACAGACAGCTGAGGGAGACTGTATCCTACCAACATCAGTCTGAAAACAGCCAGTCTGAAATAACTAGAAATATCCACTTGGATCAGAAAGAGACAAAAATACAGTAGTATTGTTTTCTGTGCCTTCCAACAGAATTAAATACAAAGTGCAAAATCTACCATCAATACAGGGATTGAACTACATTAGATATGCTGTATGGCATTGGCTCACTATTTCAAACCTCAGCCATGTACTCTCTTTCCACAGGCAAGCCTCCCCTCTGCTTCAGTTTCCCATCTACAATATCAGGAAAATGTTTTTTTTAGGGCTCCTATAATTGTTAGCACATACTATTTGTGTTCTACTCTCATTCAGAAAAGAACATATTTTAAAAGAAGCAGAGTAATAGTATTCAGTGGAAAAACTAAATATCTGAAGAACACACTTACAGAATTAAGTTTTACTTACCCATTAAAAAGATAATGTTAACATATCATTTTGTTTCCCCAGGTATAAAGTTACTGGATTAAACTACAGCATTTTCCAAAACAAAGGCTTTAGGCTCCAGCATTGTACTGCTAATCCTACCAGAGATTTTCATTTGTATCTAGTAAAGCAGGGTCATATTTCCAACTCAAAGAAGTGTTTTTCAGAAGATGAAGTGTTTGGAAGAACAAAGTTATCAACTTAATTCCACACTTCCTCACAGCATTGAGCAGATTTAATAGTTCTTCATACGGTGCTTTTAATGGGCTTGATGAGATCAAACCCTAGTACAATCTGAACAATACCTTTACCACTTTGTAGGCTATGACAAGAGAACTAATACTGAAACTCCGTGAACCGGCAGTTGCCACTAGCAGTGAAAGAATTAATCATAATAAAAACAAAGGTCTCTCGAACTTAAAGAGAAAGTCTCCAAGGAGAACCTTAACAGGTTTGCCGTCTCCATTCAAAAGAGTGCTAAAATCATCTGTCTCCCGGACAGGAGTAGGAAGAAAATTTCTTACCAAGGTACAGTCCACAAATAATTCCAGCTGGCAGCGCGACGTTTCAGGTAAGTCTCACACATATCTACAGAGTAAACATTACTTCTTCCACTGGCCGGGTTCAAGTAATACCAATAGAGCTAGCTTCTTTTGCTTCTGCTTCTGCTTCTGGCTCTGTCTTTACTGTCAGACAGGTGCTGCTGCACTTACTGCTTCAACTTCTTTGAAACACTGGAGGGCTGAATGTTACGATACTTTCAGTCTGTGTTAACCAAACAGACTCTTCCTTTCTCCTCCCTGTTTCAGGTTTCCTATTAGCCACTCATCTGATTTACTCACAGTCACGGCTGCCAAGAGCAGGGGGTGGGGCTATACCTGTAACTCACACAGGTATATCCAATGAAACTCTGATCCAGTCAGAAGGAATTTTTCCTTTCAGCAGATCACACCAATACAGTTTTTCCTGTTAACACGTATGCCTGCTAACATTCTACTGGCATCCAGCTTAACTCACATGCAAAAGGACAAACATTTGGTGGTGTAACACTAGAAACTATGACCTAGTGCTTAAATCTGTTCATTTTAACTGGGCATTTTTTCGAACAAACATGCTTACAATTTCCAAAAAAAAGTATTTACAACAATATTGTTCTCCAGGTTGCATATTTTCTTACAATTCTGAGTAGTTTTATATTTTACAAGGTAATCTTACACATGTCTACTGAAAAGTAAGCCCCACTGAGTCCAACAGGACTTGCTCCAAGGTAAGTGAATGTAAGATTTCAGCCTTAACTTTGCACTATTTTAAAAGTGCATCATTTCAAAGTGGAAACTAAGCCTGTCCCTGCTTTAAGAGAGAATGGGTCATATGCTAACAGAAAGAAAAGTTCCATCAGTGATGCTTTCATTAGACACAATCACTTAAAGAGCATGTTGCTGATCAAAGAAGTATTGGTGTGAATATAATTAAGAGGAACATGTGCTGTTTCTTTTTCCTCCTCTCCCTGTTAGTGAATTGCCTTGAAGGAAGGACATCCTGTGATGATGGCATACAGTGTCCTGTTTGTTTATTATTAAGCGCACAGACCTTGCATTCCTATTTCTCATTACCAAACAAACCAGATGCCTAACTTCCTTCAGTGGTCCTTGTCCTTCATTGAGGAATCCTTCAGCTCACAACAGTTATGATGATGCATAGTTCCAATTATAGTCACTCACAATATTACAAACATCACCCAGTCAGTTCACCAAAGGACAAGTCTCCTACTTTTCCTTTTTACATCACATCAGCAGACATGTTTTTATTATTATTATCATGCCTTTCCTCTTACGTGGGCAGAAACTTGTTTTGACTTGCTATAAAAATGCAAAACACAACTACCTGTCTATATGGAAATCTGCATTGTTCGAAGAAATGTCCATTCTGTCTGATGCATACACCATACCATCACCCTCCTGAAGTTCTTACAGAAGAAGGTGAAAGGGATTATATGTCATTCTAGGTGACGCAGTACTGAGAATAGTACATATCTGTGTAAAGACCTTTGGCATCTTCTAATAGAGAAGTACTCATACCGTTGGACATAAGTAGGACAACAGCGCCAAACAAGTGTCCTGGCTTAACTGTTACTGGTACGTAATTCCACAAGAAAGGTGGTAAGGGCATCACGCTGATGGGTATAAAGGTAATTGGATATGCAGTAGGAAGAAACATTTGTTTAAAGCAAAGAAATCTGGCCACCTTGACTTGGGTAATTAACTGATGCTGAGATAGAATCAGAGGACTATTAACAACAATAGAGGCTACTTAAAAACATACTCAGCATTGACATAGTAAGTCTGTGGCCTATAGATATATGGTAACCCACACACCAACATATTCCTGTAGCTACTCAGAAATACATTGATTTGGGGAGGGATCTTCATAACCTCAGCTTTATCACATGGCTGGAAGTTACAGATGGCTAGCTCTCCAAATCAGGAGTATAAATTAAAATGACCACCCCACAGCTAATGGTTGTCTCTTTTCATTCAGGGTGGCCAGAGATCAGTTTCTGTCTATTGCTCCCATAACATCTGTGGGAACAAATCATGTAAATCATGTGACTGACATGGTTTCTTCCCACCATGTCACTGTCCTACAGTGATGGGCAACCTCAGATATCCATGGCAACTGACATGACAGCTTCCTATAAATGTTACTGCTAATAAGCAACAGAACTTGTCCTACAGAAGCAGTGAACATGCAACTCATGTAACATGAAGTGGCCTGAGTCACTTCACATGGAGTGGAAAAACAATGTAGTCATACTGAAGCTGTCTACCCCACCCACTATACCAAGATATAAGTCTCACTTTGACATGGATATGTCTCAGAGCTTTCTAGGTCCCTGGTAATTTAAAAATAAAAAGAAATTACAAAAACAAAATTATTAACAAACAACTTTTCAACGCAGGCTTTTTCTTGCCCCATCACTAAAAAAGAATGGTGATTCTTCTTGCCTATCATGAAATAGCTATTTTGCTTTTCATTTGATTGAAACAATGACAGTGGGCGTTGGAAGGCTAAACTCTGTTTGCCCACCATTGATTGTGTGGGCACTGATGATATTCAGCAGAGTACAAAAGCGAGCTGCCGGCACAGCATTAATTACCATTGTAGAGCACAGTTGCAGTTACTGCTCCTATGCACATACCTGCGTTACACTAGGACTAAGGACACTTAGGATCCAATCTCTGTTCAGCCATTCAATATATGCTAGACTAACCTACCACAGCAGTTAAAATGCGGGTGGGAGAAAATCATGTATGCTAGTTAAAAAAATTTGAGGAAATTTTATATAAAAGGTGGAGCTCATATGTGATGCCGCAATGAAAAATGAGATATACCACTTCCCCCTGCCCCTTTTGCCTTGTGCTTACATTGTCATCAGTGTACAGTGGTACCTCAGGTTAAGAACTTAATTCGTTCCAGAGGTCCGTTCTTAACCTGAAATGGTTCTTAACCTGAGGCGTGCTTTCGCTAATGGGGCCTCTTGCTGCCACTGCACCACTGTCGCGCGATTTCCGTTCTTATCCTGGGGCAAAGTTCTTAACCTGGAGCAATCACTTCCTGGTTAGCAGAGTCTGTAACCTGAAGTGTCTGTAACCCGAGGTACCACTGTATCATGGAGAGTTGCAAGAACTGCATAACACTAACTGTGACTGTTCAGAAGGGATTGAAGCTTTTTAGTGACATTCCCCCCCCCAAGGCTTCATATGTACATAGGTCTTTCTTAGTAAAAGTACTGGATCAGAATATCAGTATCTCCAGCAAAACAAAGTGAAGATGAACACATAACATAGCAAACATATCAGATTAAAAGTGGCAAATAGGACATAGCTTCTGTCCCTTATATATGCACACAGCCAATGATTTCATGACTTGTGTGCGCACACAAATGTGTGCTTGTACCTATATTTATCAAGGTGTGAG